GAGGAGAGGAGAGGAGAGGAGAGGAGAGGAGAGGAGAGGATTAAATGTCATCATTCAGTCTAAGAGAATAAATTAAGCTGCAGACTGTCATAAGCACTTTTCCCTCTGAGTGCATATTACTGCGTCAATTTAAAAACAAGCATTTAAAAAGAAATACAATTTTAAGCCAATGACAGATATGCCTCCAATATACACTGGGTGTGAAAAATTCTCTTTTCTTACCTCATTTCACTATCCTTCCACAGTTTCATACTATCCGAGATGACTATCCTATAATCCTGCCCATGCACATTTGCCAAGTCTCCAAATAGCTTTAAAAAAACCCACTGATGAGAGACCACCAACTTTATGGGTTCTTGCAACTCCCACTGTACATTTTATGGGTATTTAGCAATGCTACAGGGTTTTCCTAATGCTGGCGAAATTTCTCTTCTCTTCACTAATAATAGACATGTGTTTCAGCAGCCTTTTCTCACTTTTTCTCTCCACTCATGCCTATATTCTCAAAGTGCCGATTTTTAAGATGCATTTTTCATAGAACCATAAAAACAATGCATTCTTTTCTTTTTATTTTTCTTTTTCTCCTTTTTTTCCTTTTCTTTCTCTTTTTTTCTTTTTCTTTTTTTTTTTTTTTTCTTTTTCTCCTTTTTTCCAGATTAGGGACTGGACAAACTTTTAGCCTGCCAAGCTTTTTTTATTTCCTTTTTTTTTGTTGTTGTTTAAATACTTCACAATAAAAGAATGTGCTCCTGGTGGAATTTTTATTGCAAAAAGAAAAGTTCTCTCCTTCTCCTTTCTTGTATCTTATGCGCTTCAAAACACGTACTGAAATTCTGTAACTTCCCAAGAAAGACGGCTGCTCAAACACTGTCAAACTATTAATGATAATGTCAGAGTACATGACACATATTTAAACATTAAAGGAAGAAGGATTAAGGCTGCATCTCAATCTCACTTTGATGACTCAACTTTACATTGATATACTCAGCATGACACTTGAGATCAGACTTCTGTTTTTGCTCTTCAACAGCATTTTAAAATAATTCCCCTTGCCTAAGAAGGATGTTGGAAAATGTACATGAGAGTAGATGTTCTTTTTTAACAAGTTCAGAGCCCTGGTTTTTCACAGGATTTGGAAGTGTGTTCTGGTTTTCAGAAAGCACAAAGCTGTCAACAGCTGAATCAACTTTCAGAAATGCTCAGGATGCTTTCCTGGGGAAGATGTCCTGTCCTTCAGGCTCTACTTTGGAGACATCTCCCTGGCACCCACCTGCAGCATGTCTTTCCCCCATCACCTATCCCGGTCACTGAATACAAGCTTTTCAAACACCCCAAACTGTACCTACCACAAAATCTTGCCATTTGGTAGATTGTTTCCATTTCCTTTTCCTTTCAATTTATTTATCCTTTTAAAAAATATATTATCTGAAGACACATTCTGGGTTTTCACAGTCGTCTCTTTCAATCGCGTACATTTTTAGTGGAGTGGAGAGCCACCCAACGGGGTGTTTCACCCACTGGCAGAGGGCAGAGACCAGATCAGGACACGGTGCTGTAGTGTCAGGGAGAGCTCAACCCCGTACTGGATGGAGTTAATCCATGACTTTGAGTAACACAGTGCCAGAGGATGCTGGGATAAGAGGTTAATACTTCTGCAGTGATTTTTACTCTAATTTCCTTCACAGGGGACTGGCAAAGGGTTTTTTTCCTTATTTATTTACTCTTGGAGGCAGAGGTAGCAGAGTTACATGGCGAGATTCTTGGTTGGTGCTTATACTGAAGTTATTTTCTTGGTGCGACCCCTTTCCCACCTCACCAGTGTGCAGCCACGGCCACACCACCACGTCACAAAATGCCAGGCATATTAAACAGGACTGGCTTGGGCTAGCTTTGCTCCCCCTGAGCAAAGAGGACCCCAGAGCTGGCAAAGGGAGACAGTGGGAGTACGGTGAGAAGGAGGCAGGTCGATGGGATCGGTCAGTGGCACCAGACCACCAGCTTGGTTCTGAAATAGATTAAACCTCCCCGTGTGCGCCTATGCCTTGCAAGTACCTGCCTTACCTGTATCTGTGAATATCTGCGCCGTAGGACACCACAGGACTGCTAAAACAATGCAACTCTGAGTGCAGACAAGGCTGACATTGGGTGATCTGCAGAAAGGAAAGGTCAGAAGTTTCACTGCCACTCATAACCATGGTCCTGTTACTCCGTATTTCACCCCCACAGGCAGGTGATTCCCTCCATCTGTTTTTCACTGCATGCCATCATTTTGGCACGTAGGTACCACACGGCAGAATGAGCTGCTGCATCCATATGGCACAGAGCAGCCAGCACCATCCAGAGATTTTCTTGTATTCAGTCCCAAAAGCCATGTTGCCCCGGTGGCATGGCACGAGGCTGCACTGCTCCTAGCCCAAATAACGATGGCAGCACGGTCCCGCTGCTTCGATTTCCAGAGGCAATGTGATCTCTGTCAGCTCAGGCATTGCTGCTCATTTCCATTGCACATGGAAAGTGTGCCAATGGCTCTGGGGCTGCCATGGCTTGCGCTGAAGGGCAGGGTTTATACTGTGGGAAACTCATCCTTGCTTAATTTCAAGAGATTTAAATTTAAATGATTCAACTAAATCATTTAAGCTGGTAGCAGAGGTTGTATGGACCCTTTCATTGCAGTTTAAATCTCTCTCCTTTCAGTTTAGTCTCAAGCAAGCTTTCGTTTCAACCACCTTTAAGGTAAACAGGAGCAACCCCATCGGATGGTAACAAGAGAGGCCGCACGCAGTCTGCACTGCTTTAACTAATGAAGCAAAAGCAGGTAAATGCACTCGGTACAGGTTTGTACATACACGGCGTCAGCGCTCCACGGTTGGCCGCTGCCGCTGCTGTATCCTCCGCAAACAGGGCACAGGCGGGGCCGGGCTATGTGCACCACAGTGCATCACCCTGAGGGACAAGGACCTTCGTGACTCAGCCCTGATTCGGGCCTCCCCAGTTCTCCTGTGATACCCGTAACCGCAAGGATACTAAAATGAGAGAAGGGGAAGGTCTGACAGGCAGTTATGCGACTAGGGACACTCAGGTTTAGGTTTCTTCTTGGAAGCACTCCGTAATGCAGCCACCGCCAAGGGAGCAGCTATATACCCAGCACCCAGAAAATACACACGCCTTAAGGGCAAGACATGAAAAACAAATGGTGTAAACGGCTGCAAATTCCTTTGCTTTTAATGGCCTTCATCGATTTAACCCCCCAGAATGGATTTGGTCCATGGAGTCAAGTTGGAACAGCAGTAGGATTTTAGGTAGGGAGAATTTAATGGCTGAGACTGAAATTTGGCCAAGATCTTGGGTTTAATGCTCCTTCTCTCATGAGAAGAACCACCAAATATTTCATGTAAGCTTCCACTGACAGATAGACCCTGCTGGAGGGGCTGGTGCTACTGCCACTCACTGGGACAGTTGGGGGAAACCAGGTCAACCAAAATCCCTTTGTTGGCTCTCATCCTTGACAGTTAGAGGAACTCAGAGACTTAAGATGGAGAAAATGGTCATTAGGGCATGCTCTGGCATTAGTAGCTATAATTCACAGGTTCTAGCTGAGGATATCAGAGCAGTTTGTTAGCACCGCAACAAGGCAGGGGAGTGATGCAACCCACACTGGGAAATCAGGAGCTTCTGAGTTCGACTCACCTAAATTCCTCCTGCAAAAGAAAATCAAACTGCAGCAACACCTGGGGCAGAGGATTTAATGGAGGAGGCAGCATGGCTCTTACTGATACGGTGCTGAACCAGGACTCAGCGTATCTTCTCCAGTACTATCTCCAGTACCTCTAGTTTCTCCACCTGAAGAAACCCTTGCTATGTCTGCTCTGAGGCAGCCTGGCCAGCAGCCAGTGGCACAAAGCAGAGGATATTAGCCACCAGGCAGAGCTTGTTTTGCTTGGTGGACCTCGACTAGGTCAACAGAAACTCCCTCTGCTTGGCCCATGTGGTGGTAATGGCTGCTAGGCTGACATGCCATGGGAGGAGGAGGAGGGTTAGGAACCAATGTCCCTTTCTCTGAAGTGAATTCAAGTATCTCACAGCTTACATCCCATTGATTCTCAGTATGACCTTAATGTCTAAGGGGTTTAGGTGAGTTGAAAAAGAGAAGCCAGGTGCCTAAGTAACAGAGATACTTTTAAAAATGACAGAGGACCTCCTGAGAGGGTCTCTTTCATCCTGAATTTTCCTACAATCCTGTGAAATGCAGTTTATTCCCAACTGTGCCACAGCTCTGACTGCGACCTCTGGCAAGCCCCTGAACCTCTCCATCGCTCCCTTCCACCCCGCCTGCCCGCTCCGCCGAGACCCCTGGCCCCTCTGCGCTGGGGCTGCTCCCCCCGGCGTGCCTGGGGTGAGGGGAGTTAAGGGGTTTTGGGGTGCCAGCAGAAGGCAGCCCACGGTTGGCAGAAATTACCCACACGTCCCAGCTTCCTTATTATCTCTGTGAAAAAAAACAGGGCAGCCCTTTGCTGCGGAATAATTCTTCCAAGCGGATTCGAAGTCGGTAGCGGAGCAGCAACCGAAGGCTTCAGGGAGCTGTGAAGGGCAAAGCGGCGAGGGGAGGGATAGCTGGGAGGTGTTGGAGTTTCCCCGGGTGCCCCCGCTCCCCATCCCGCCGGGGTGCCCTTAGTGCTCCCGGGCACATTTCGGAAGGCAACGTGGAGTCAAGCAACCCTCCACCTCGCAGATGAGGATCTTGATGTGGAAAAGAGCGATAGGAGGGGAGAAGCGGGATGAAGGGGGGTTGGAAACCAAAGCAAATCACGGATTTCCCTGGGGAGGCAAGGGCAGGGAGGGGGGGGGGGGGAAGCGCACACGGTGGGTCGCGGCGAGTCTCCGGGGGGCAGGATTTCTCTTCCATCGCATGGAAGAGCGAGATTAAAGAAGAAAGTGGGAGTGGGGTGGGAGGGAAGGGAGGGGGGGGTGGTGGGGGGGGATGAACAAAGGAGATTGGCAGCACAGCTGTTTTGGGAAGAAAAAAAAAAAAAAAAAAAAAAAAAAAAAAAGCCAGCCTTCCTGTTTCTTTAAAGCCGCTCATCTGCGCGGCGGGCCGGCTGCCGGCGGTGGTGGGAGGCAGGCTGCGGGGAGCCGCGGACGGACGGACGGACTGACGGCCGCCCGGACTGACGGAGGGAGCCGGCCCGCCGGGGCTCCGCTGCCCGCCGCGGCCGAGCGGGCGCAGATGGGCGGCGGCGGGGCGGCGGCGGCGGCAGCGCAGCGGCGGAGCGGCCGGCGCTGAGCGCACCCGCGCAGCGCCCCGCGCCATGCGGAGCACGCCGCTGGCGGAGGGCGAGCCCTGGCCGCGCCTCTGCGCCGCCGAGCTGGGGGGGCTGCGGCGGCTGCGGCGCAAACACGGCTGCAAAAGTTTCCGCGTGGAGCTGAAAGTGCTGAGCGGGCGGCGGGCGGGGGGGCTCCGCGGGGGCGGCCCCCCTCTCCCGCCGCCGCCGCCCCCCCCCGCCGCCCCGCCGCCCGCCTGGGAGCCGCGCTCCGCCGCCCTCGGCGCCGCCGCCAGCGCCTTCCCCGCCGCGCCGCCGCCGCCGCCCCCCGCCGCCCGCCCGCCGCCGCCGCCGCCGCCCGCCGCCTCCTCCCCGCGCCCGCGGCCGGGCGAGGCGGCCGGCGTCTCGCCGGAGATCAAAGCCCTGCAGCAGACGCGGCGGCTGTTGGCCAACGCCCGGGAGAGGACCCGCGTCCACACCATCAGCGCCGCCTTCGAGGCGCTGCGGAAGCAGGTACCTGCCGACGGTCGGGGCACCGCGCCGACCCCCCCCGACACACACACCCTTCCCAACCCCCGGGGGTCCTGCTGCCCCGCGGGGGCTCCGCAGGCGCGGGTGGTGGCGCCGGGCATCGCTTGGCAAATTCCTGCCCGCCCCGCTGCTCTGTTTTTTGGGGGGTGCGCGGGGGAAGGCGCCCGCTCTGCCGCACGCCTGGAGGCCGGGGGGGGGGGGGGGGGGGGCGCGGTGAAAGGCAGGAGCCTGGAGTGGACGCCTGACAGAAGGGGAAGTCGGTACAAAATGCCTGGAAGTACCAACCCTAAGAGCTATGCTAACACTCAAATAAATAAGGGGGTTTAATTTGCTTGCAGTTAGAAACTTTTGGACTTCCCCCCCCCACCTCACCCCCGGAAAAGAGAATGGCATGGAAGGGGGGCTGGGGGGGGGGGAATGAAACAAAACCGAGAAAGCCCTCCAAATGAAAACAGAAAGTGAAGAGAGGCACTTGGCCAAGCTGCGAGCTGGGGTGATGCTCCCATACCATGAGCACGTGTACTTGCTAGCTGTGCTGCTGGGGTGGGCTGCCCCAAAGGGATCACTGGGAATTTGGGCAGCAACATGCTCCCGTTGACTTTTGTGCAGGGTGCCTGAGCCCTCAGGGCCCTTCGGGTTCCTGCAGCCACCTCTGAAACTTTCCGTGTGCCAGGGAGAGCTGAGTTAAGTTGTGGTCCCCCGCAGGTTAGTTACCCGTTATTTTTACTGTAGTGTGTGCTTGAAGTGTGTATGGTGCTGGGTTTTCTTGTTGAGAAGTCTTGAAAATCCTTATGGTTGTCTGTGAAGGACAGTAGATTTGTTCGCACTGGCAGGGTGGAGCTTCTGAAAGGTAAATAAAGTTTTGGACAAAATCCCTCCATCGCTTCCCCAACGTGTAGAAGGTGAGAAGAGATCTGCAGAAGCTGCAATGTTCGTGTAACTTCCCCACAAGGATAAATCAGTGCCCTGGCCCCTGTATTCAGCCCTATACTTCTCTCTTTGTGTAGGGACCCTGCAACAGCCCCCGGATAGACAAAGATGTGCTGTCACACTGTGCAAGCCCAGCTGTCCCGGCTTTTCTGCCTTCCCAGTAAATGCTGACCGGACTAGTCCAGGTGTGTAGGAAGGGGGAGATGCACAGGGCTTTGAGGGCTGTGAGCTGCAGATGAGTCTGAGCGTGAGAGGTGCTGAGCATCGCCTCTCCCGGGATGGTCCCTCCAGCTTGGTGGGAGCAGCACACTCTGCTTGCAGGGGGGCTCACACACCCAGCCTTTTGGCTACCATCTTTCAGACATTACTTATTCAAGCCATTCCCCTAGTGTGCTCGCTTTAGGAGGCAATCCTGTTTCCTGCTTAGAGGAGCTCTGCTTGTTTCTGTCTCCTGTGTGACGCCTCCAGCCTTTCTCAGTGACTGCTGTGTGCCGGGTAGCTGTACCCCAACAGTTAATCCTTCCCCGTCATCTACTTCTGCAAACAGACTTCCAGCCCCGGCCTCAGTAGGAAGCGCAGGCTGAGACTACATCAGGAGACAATTGCTGATAAGCGTCTAAACTAGACCATTTTTAATCACCATGCGGTGGTGGAATCTGAAAGCTTCTGTTATAATCACGGTAATCCAGTGTGTGCTGGATGCTGTCTCTCCCGCGGTGAGAGGCGGCCCCGTGTAGATGCAAACTCCAGACTTGATATATGTTGTTTCTATAAGCTGCTTCCGTATCTCAGTTGTTTGGCAACTGCATGTAACGTGCTTGGAAGTGTCAGTCTAATTCTCCGTGGACAGACATCTACACCACCAAAACCGCAAGGGGAAGTAGCACTGATTTCCCAAATCACTGGCAATCTTGTTCTAGGCTGAGCCTCAAGCAGAAGTCAGGCAAGCAACAAATTAAAGCCGCACTCTTTTGGGAAATGGGCAACTCTTGAAAAGCCTCAGATTCCTGGCCTTGGCCCTGTCTCCATAAATCATTTCAGCCCTGGACTCAGCTGGGAGCCCAAAGAGACTGGAGAACAAGTTGCTGTCCTCTCTTACCATGAAAGCCAGTCTCTAGGGTCAGCCCAGGAACGTACTAGCAGAGCTGTGTTCGCTCTGCAGAGAGAAAGAAATAATTCTCTGGGAAATGTTTGCTGCAAGGTTTTCCTAGCAATTTGCTGAGGGGTGGGCTGGCTGTCCCGACCATCATTGGATGACATTTGGATTCATTTCTTGTTGGGCTGCCAACGGCGTGCTTGGTGCCGTACGTGACATCAGGTGACAGTCAGCTTCATTGCACATACGCGCGGTGCCGGCTTGTCACTCAAATCATTCACACCGGTGCCGGCGGAGAGGTTTTTGAGGAACAGTTCGGAGCAGGAGAGAGAACCTTGCTTTCCGTCACGTCTTGGTCAGAGGGGCCGGGAAGCGGGAGTGCAGAGAGATGCGTTTGTAGAGGTAAACGCAGTAGGGAGGCTTTCTCTTGCCGTCTTTTCCCATCCCCGAGCATACAAAGGGCCTTCAGCCCTGTGCAGGAGGCAGTCCCTGTGTGCCGTCAGCCGCAGCCCTCGGTTTACTTCTTGCTCCTCGGTTAGTCTTCCGTCTCCTCCTTGTCATCACATATCAGGCTCTTAAGCAGCTGGGAGGCTTTTCCTGAGGCGCTGAAATCGATACCTCCCCGCAGACGGGCGGGCGAGGAGCACGGGAGAGCGCCGTGTTTGCACGCAGCCGGCCCTGGCCCCGCACTCCTTTGGGAAGGGGTCGGGAGCTGGATGTGGAGCCACTGGAAGCAGGAGCCCCACTCGGCCACCGGTACCCGGCACCCACGCAGCTGTCGCCCCCCCCCCCCCCCTTCCCCACCTTGTTTGGATGCACGGGGCTGGAGATATCCATCCTCACTGGCATGCGTGGGATAAAACCCCAGTGCTTGCAGGATCAGGCCCACCGCAGCCACGCTGTAGGGAGCCTGTCCGTGCCCAGCGAGGAGGAGGAGGAGGAAGGGGAAGCCATGCCCCTCTGCAGGACACCCTCCCCATCTCGGCAGCCCACCCGAGGGCGAGCGGCTGGCACGCATCGGGCCGGGCAGATGGGCTGACAGCAGCGTCCCTGCGCTCCGCAGCTGTGTACATATGGCACACATGTTTCGGCTTGTGTCGGGCTAGCTCTCCAGATGGCAGGAAGAGGTGGTGGTTTCGTTTTCCCCAGTTCTTGATGGAGGAAGAGCCGGCCACAGTCGTTTCACACAAGGAGAGGCTAATCCAGCCATGTCTCTGAGCACTTAGCTGTCCCTGGCTTGCCTCCGAGGCCAGGGCCCCCTCAGAGGTGGGAGGTAGATGGGCAGCTGCCAGCTCCAAGAAGCTGCCTGCTGTTGGGAGAGATGTGTCACTGCGCTTGCCCCTTGGCGCCCTGGCCACCAGGAACGAGGATCTCTCTCCCTCTCTCTGTATCGAGCTGCTGCCTTCACCATAGGGCCATAAGACTGGAAAGAGTAGATACAGCTCCTTCCCTCTAGTCTTGGCACTTGTGATCTTCAGCTACTCAGTGTGGAAGAAATTTTCCCCCCCTTCAGTCCCTCAAGCATCATTTGTCCAAGCGATCCTTCCACTGACAGTGGACTCCTGAGGTTATCCTAGTTCCCTAGGGAAAACACTCACCTGCTCTAAAACACTTTGAGATGGTGGAGATACTTCTGTTGTACTTTGCTCTCCCGCTGCTGCTGCCTTTCTGGGTGTCCCTCCTGGGTGCTGCTCCTGTCACCATGGCTGGGCAGCTCCTTCCCAGAGCACTGGTCTCCTGCCCTCAGATGCCCTGGCAGGTGCTGGTCAGCAGGTTCTTGCACTGTCCCAGCTGCTCCAGGACCCCCCATAAGTGACATGACAGATTGCCACTTCCGTCCTTTTTTTTGCCTCCCTCTCCCTGCTGTTGTGGGTCATCAGCAAACCCAGACATCTCTGATGCAGACAGAGATGCAGCACTGAGTTCACAAAGACCCACGGTCATCTCCTCCTCCATCTGAAGTGTCCTCGTGCCTGGTGGATGTTCCAGTTCATGAAGCAGTGCAGCCATTCGGAGGAGACAAGATGTGACCATACCACTGCACATCTTCACAGCAACTGCTATCCAGGCCGGGCCATTGTTGCCAGCAACATCGGTGCCTTTTTTTTGTCTCCAGACTCCTTTTGGCAGCAAGAGTCTCTTATCCCAGCACAGCCCAAGTGTGAAACTGAACCATCTTAATGTTTATTACAGCATGGACCTAGCCACCAGGTTTACTCCTGGAGGCCTTGGCTGGGAGGAGATAGTGCTCTCCACCCTTAGGCTGCAACAGGCACCCAAGCAGACCAACTCCCACCAGTGTCCCGCACTCGCAGGAGTTGCGATTGAGCTTCTCAGCTGTGCTGACAGACCCTAAGGTGGCAGCAAACTCTCCCTCGATGGACCGAGACAACCACAGCAGCCTTCCTGATCTGGAGCCTGCCTAGGCTTGCACATCTGGTTTCTCTCTGGAGCACTGCTGTCCAGCTCCTCCTCAAGAAAGCAACGCATCGAGCCACAGCAAGCTAGAGTCTGCGCCGGGAGCAAATGTGTCCACAGACATTTATTTTCCCTTGAAGTATATTGGCGTTTTTCTAAATCTTTTCACCACTGCATTACCAGGGCGCTCTCTGCCTTAGCAGCTGACAGCCTCACTCTCCGCACTCATGTGGGTTCTGGAGATATTTTAGGGTTTTATAGGGCTTTTTAGCTGCTGGAGTGGAGTTTTTTTCCCCCCGCTAGCATCCTTTCACTTTTTGCTGCCGGCATGCACATGGCTGCTGTGGCTTGTTGTTAAATCATTGCAGAAAAGACCCTGCTCACTCCCGTCAAGAGCATGGTGGGACATCAGGAGTGGCAGCCTCAAGGCCACAGGAGGAGGTTGCGTTGCTGTGGGGTGGCGTGGGGGGCAAGCTGTCTGCAGGGGTTTGGAGGGACAAGCCAGACACTAAATGCAGGAAGGACCTGCGGCTTGAGC